TAAATAGCCTGGTGTTGGTCTATCATGATGATGAAAGGACTGGCTCCTAATTCAGTTTATTGAACGGCTGCCAAGATTTTCACCTTTCACAGTCTCACCTTACTGAGAATGTTGGTATAATTCCCAAAGATGAGTCAAGGAAGATTAGGCAAACTTTTTAAACTCTCTCACCTTTGAGTTTCTGTGTCGTGCCGGCTCAGTAGTGTGACTCATGTTGGTCCAGACTTTATGTCACGGTGTGTTGAGTGAGTGTACACGGTATATTCTAAGTTAAAATTGTACCGGGGAAACATACTTCTTTCTGTCATTCAGAGTCAGCTAATAGAAAATATTCTTTGTCAGGATAAGCTCTCAAAATCCTCTACTTTGCAGAACCATTGTAATTATGTAAATTTAGAACGGCTGATTTTGATGGAGGCGTATAGTTGAAGCATTACAGGAAACAATATTAAGCCAATTAGTCTCTAGAAATCCTGTGTTTTGGCCTTTGGCTCTGCTTCTAATATGAGTGCGGCTTCAGACTTCCATGCAGAGAAAGTGGCAACACAGACACAACACAGAGCTTTGAGGAGGTGGTGATGCTCATGTGGTTTTACTACCTGCATTTAAAAGAATTTGGCTGCCTGATTTGGAACCACTGTTGCTGTAAACCTTATAATGTGGAAGGGAAATTAAACGCTCTCTAAATCTTTATGAGAAACAAAACTAGCAGTATAATTTTATGTGCAGCGGAATGCTACAAAGGCATCTGTCTCCATGTTTATCCCCTCTGGTGGTCTCATTATATCTATATAATGAGCTATATTATACTGTGAACAAAATCTAAATTTTACCTTTACAAAGAAAAATTAAATGGTTCTAAATAGTCTCTCTGGAGATTTTTAAAAGGATTTTCCTTTCCTGCTGCCTGATGGGTGAGGTTCCTGAAATATACTCTCTCAAATATTAATGCACCCATGAAAGCTCTATTTTCTCCACCCACACACCCATCTTCACACAACTTGCACGTATACACACACAACATACACACTTGCCAGGTCACAGCCAGGCAGCATACAGCACAACCTCTCTGAAGTGTGTTTCTTTTCCAGTACTCTATTCTCTTTGTAAGTGTTTGAGTTTTAGATGATGGGGAAATCAAAGTGCAGTGGTTGGGTTTAACTCTCATCCTCCTGGTTAGCAGCAACAATACAATGATCAGTAATGTACCGAGTTAGGCTATTATTTTCTGTCATACTTATTATGTGTAAATAAAGAATGTTATTACCTCTGAAAGATGCAAACATATGGTATCACTATTATTGATGTGTTTTTGCTGCTTAGTCTGAGTATGGTGAAACAGTTAGCGCATGCTTACTGATCAGGTGGCCACACCTTAACTTTTTCCATTTCAGCCCACTCATTCTGTGGCTCCCTGCCATTTGATCTACCTCAGCTAATATAAAACATTACAGAGCCCCTTTATGCTGCCTCATTGGATTAGCATCTTTTTTTCATCAGTGCAGCTCTGCCCAGCATTGCTTTCACTCAATACACATTTGTCTAGCATCAGTGCTGCCTTTCATCCCTGTCTCATTCTATTAGCCTGCTATAATAGCACTCTGTTAATCTCTTCAGGGAGAAAGCTATGCCCCACAATGGCTCTGTACAGATGACTGGCCTAGTTATTACTCTACTGAGTCGCTTGAATGTGCCAGTAAATGAGGCTGTACCTTTGTTTGAATTCAGTATTTTTGAAAGTCACTTGGATTGTATTTAATTGTTTTTATGTATGCATATATATCCTCTTTAGTCACTACAGTCTCATCTGAAAATATTTAAAAGCAACTGGCCCATATATGTATAACTTAAGATGTCTTTGATGTGAAAGGTTAAACACAAATTTAGATGAGATTTTAGTGATGTCACATCTAAAGTGTGAATATCTTGGCTGTTCCCTGAACCTTAAAAGAAATATATTTTATTCATGTGGATCCGCTTTGGTTACAGGCTAAAACGGCTCCTGATTTATCAAATACAGAATCACCAAGATGGATGGAAAGATGATAAAGAAGGAAAGAAAAAGTAACCTAAACAGGAAGATGACTTACAAGTTTTACAAACTGTATCCTTGTTCTTCAGTGCTTTTTTTCCATCTTCCTATGTGGCCGGACATGCATTACTCATTGATCTATCTATCCCTCCATTAGCTATACCGCCTATTCATCAGGTTGTGGGGAGGCTGGAAGAATAGTATGTTGAGTTTGTTCTTTAACACAGTCAAAAAACAACAAAAACAGAAAATATCAGCTTTTTGGCAAATGAAAGAACAAACTGACCTTGTACTTTACAAGTTTTTCAGTTTAACACTAACTGAAAAACTGACTGAAATTTTTAATTGATTGACTTTAATTGTAATGCAGGTATTTAGAGCAGTAAAGAAGTAGGATCTAATACTACTGCCTCAAAGTGGTGTATTGCGGAGGATGTTGTTCTGTAAAAGTACTGACGCACCAAATACTGGTAGGTTAAAGCAAAATAGGCTCGTATAATGCAACATATATGTTGTTGTAGATTGCTCATCTAAGAGTGAATAAATGGTCACTTGTTTTTTTTCTTTTCTTTTCACATTACTCAGGCTACCTCATCCCACCTGGATCTTGTTAGAGCTTGTTAGTCCTAAAGAATAGATCCCTGTAGTTTGTGTTTGCGTGCAGTATAACAATGAAAGCTCCAGAAATGAATGCTCGTACAGCTTTCCTTAACCTGGTACTCTCCACCTGCTTTACTCTGACTCCAAAATGAAATCAAGTGTCATAGCCTTACTGTCAGGCAGAAATATAACTCTCTCCCCTTGTATTTAAGAGAGTAAGAAGAAGATGTCAACTCACTTTACAGTTCATTTCACACACAGTGATGGCTGCTGAGCTGCTAAACTGCAGGTCTCTGGCAGAGGATATTTCCTGCTAGAACACTTATTTTTTCCTGTCCCTCAGTATCTTTCTTCCCAACAGAATGTGCCTATCTTTGTCCATTCATTCCCTCATTTATAATTGTTAGTTTTTGCTGGCTTTCTTTATTGGCAGTAAACTAGAAAAATTGTTTCCTGTCATTCCAGTGTTCTATGTTGTCTCAGCATTGAATATGAATACAATGCTGACTGTTTATCTTTTGTTTCAGCACGTAGAATCAAACATGGGATTTTCTTTAATGATGCTCTTTGATATCTGTTTAGTGTACTTTACTAAGGTATTTAAAAAATTGTTTTTAATCTTTTATACTAAGGGGTTGGGGCAGATTGACCGATAAGAGTGTCTAACAGATGGCCTGTTTTTTTAGTCAGGATCTTTTTGTTTGATTGTGATGCTGTTGACACATTGATCTTGGCTCTATAGTTTTAGAAAGAAATCTTGTCAGTCAAACATGTCGTTCTCAAAAATATAAAACAAATAGTTGAGTTATTGTACAGATGAAATGCCTCAATCATAACTAATTTTTATTAACAATTACCTGCTTTTGAATGTGGAGTTTGATCACTTTTTTTTAAAGATACAGTTTTACACATTGATTTGTTTGATCTTGGACAATAATAGGTCACTGAAACATCATGTAAGCATGACCTCACAGTGGCTCGTGACGAGAAAGAAATCATCTTAAGTGAAAAGAACTGCTCAGTGTGTGTATTTACCACAAACTGATCTTCTATTTGGACATGAATGAAACTTGAAAAGTTAAGGGGACACTGACTGTGGTAATCCCTGATCACCCCACCCCATCAGTTTAACACAGACATGAAGTCACCACCCCTCCCCAGTGCAAAGAGGCTTTGGCTGCCCTGCCTGCAGGGCTGTTGACCTGATTTTATTTGTGTAACTGTGTGTTTTTGTGATCATAGCATTTGTGTGTGTATGAAACAGATTAGGATGGTGACATAGTCAGACATTTCTGTGGCAGTACTGAGTGGGTGTGTTTTTATTTATATGCACGCGTGTCCCTGCATGGAAAAGTAGGGCAGTGAGAGGTTTTTCTCTTTTTTTTTTTTAGAGAAGAAATCCATATTGGTTAACAGTACTCCTTCTTTTCTCTTAATAATATGATTGAGTGATTGCTCCAATTTATGTGTTTGTATCCTTGTGACAGTTTGTCAAAAGTCTCCTCTTATGAGATTTACTGCTTGTTATGGGGGTGGACATTGAAGAGAAGTAATGTGTTTCTTGGGTCTTCAGACAACTCAAAATGCAGCTTTTAAATAGTAACTTGTATCTTCAAGCTGATGGTTTAGTTTCTTCCCACCAAATAACAGCCATCTGGATGATAACAACTTTAAGTTAATGAGTTTTCACATCAGATGGGTGTAACATGAAATTCCACAATGTGCAAATATAGCCTCGTTGCATGGTGGTTTGCAACTGAATGAATCTAACAAATGTGAAAAATCAGGTTTGTGTTTTCCCTCCATTTGTGTTTTCCCTCCATTTGCTTAATGTACATCCTTTTTGCCTATTCACTACAAGTTGGCCATTTTCCCAGCACTGATTCCCCATTGTTCCCCAGGCGCTACTTATTCATTTGCCCATTTCTTTCTTGAAAAGGCATGCTTATGCCAAATTTGCTGAAACAGGTGTCATATCATGAAAGAATAAAATCTTATTCTTTTCTTATAACTTCTTACAAACATTATTTCTGTTAATTTAATTTACTATTAGGTCTAGTCTTTTTTGTTTAAATTCTTTGCTCCTTTTTAAATAGATTTCACATTGATCACGTTCTCTTTTTGTTGTAAGCTATTTAGTTTTGTTTAGATTTCTCCCTCTGTGTAGTTGCAAAAGTACAATTTTCGCATATGTAATTTTGTAATTTAACTACCTTCGCATGGTAGTCACAACATAAACTCACAGCCAAGTCATTCAAAAGTACAACAACTGAAAAATGCACATCATGTATTAGCATTATTGTAAGTATTTTAAAGATTATAACACTTCTGAAGTTAACGTAAACAGTTTAAACTAATTTTCTACTGTCCTTTCTGTTCTTTTCCCAGTTGCAAATATTTCCAACTCCTTCTTGCCTTTGTTGGCATTTAATGGAAGAAAAAGCACCAATCGGACCTGCCATGGTATCCAGGTTGCCTAAGTTTGGTGGACGCCCCTCAGCTGGTAGCACTGGACTCCTTTCCAATGGTTCTACACAACCTACTTCTCCTTCCCAGGATAGCAAGACCATTTCCACAGGAACACGGCAAAATGGTTTGATCCGTCCCTCCCCTCTTTCCCTGAAATGGAAGAGAGATGAAGGGATAAACTCTTCTTGCCCCTCCACCCCAACTTCTCCAAGGGATTCAAGCGAAGACAAGGCTCAGTCACAGGTTTTTTCTTTGGCTAAAGAGCTAAAGAATAGCTCTCCATCAACGCCTAAGATGCGCAGGTCATCATCGTTGATGATGGCTGTTTCTAGCCCTAAAGCTATACCCAAGCAATCCTCAAAGATGAGTCCCAAAGTAGGGATGAAGTTAAGCCAAAGCCCAATTAATGGTGTTTCAAAAATAGGCCATACCGGATCCAGCATTCCTGCTCGAACCTTATCAGAGTCTCGGCTTGTGCCATCGATGTTAGGCTCTACCTCTCCCAGAAGCAACAGTCAAGACAGCCTTTCCCATTCTAATGAAAGTCTGAAGATCATAAACTTAGACAACATGGTGCGTTCAAACAGCTTCACTCATTTCAAACAGATTCCTTCACCCACCAATGAGCCCATGACACGATCTTTCTCCTTTAATCGAGCTGTGGAACTTGCTAAGCCTCTGGCCAACACTCAGCTCCGGCCGCCTAGGAGTGGTTTTCTCAAACCTCCTCAACTTAGCAATGGAAGAGTTGGTTTAGGTCTAAATGGCAGTCTCGGAGGTTCAGGTTGTCTAAGTGGAGGAGAAGGGGGACCTCAGCACAGCAGAGCTCCTCCATCAGCCTCCTCGGTGCCCAACCCCTCAATCCCTCCAGCACTTGGTACTCCCCGGACTCTGAAAAAGCCTCTGCTTCCCAGTTCTATACTGACCAAGTCACTGTCCAACAATGGGGGCTCCTTTGGTTACAGAATATCTCAGTCTGGACAGGCCAAGCGACAGAAACCTCTTTTACCAGACAGGGTCAGGGATGGTATACGTTCCTCGGGAGCCTCTGAATCTGGGGCACTGTCAGGAACGGTCGATGCTGAACCAGCCAATGAGGCTGAAAAAGCAGACATTCGCCATGACAGTGATGAAAGCTCTGGAAATGGCACTGGCAGTGGAGGAGAAAGTGGTGAAAGTAGGCAGAGTTCTGGTCCGGCAGCATGCGAGACTCTAGAGGACATGTCATTATCTTCTGCTTCATCGCTAGACAGAGGTGACACCAGTGAAGAGTTTCTAGATGACTTGGACTGTATGGGAGATGTCTTCAGTGATGGGGAAATGCCTGATAACAAGAAATCTAGAAGCCCTTCTGAAAGCCCCCTACACATCTGTGTCAATGAAGCGGTGGCCTGGGAGTCATTGAATCTGGCTGGTAATTAAATATGAATAGATCAATAAAAATGAATCGGACATTATTTTGAATGTGTTCAATTGTTTGATGTATAACATTACAATTTTCTAGCGCAATTTTATGTGTCTTTTCTGCAGAAAACGAAGTTCGCTCTTTGCATGAGTCCCGGGCATCGATGATGTTGTCCCCCGAGCAGGCAGATGCCCCTCAGGCTTTTTCTGTTGAGGTATCACCCTCCAACAGCTCAAGTGGAACCTACATGTGGGACGAAGAGGGTCTTGAGCCCCTTGGGGGATGTGGAACTCATCTCCTTGACAGTTATGATGACTCGGAACTCAACAGTATGGTGAGTTCCATATTCTTGAGGTCAGACTTGTAATCTTTGTTAATTGTTCCTATAATTTGGTCATCACAAAGATGGCTGTTACTGGTTTCACTTTTCTTCAGTCTGGAAAACTGGCCAAATTACTCCTCACTGATAGGAAGGCTCACTCTTTCCTCAGCCTTTACATTTCGGAAATGATCATTTTTCCTGTGTTGAAAAATTACAACTATTCAGAGGGGTGCAGGAACCATTTACTTGTTGTAATATCTGTGGCTGAATTTGGTTTGCCGCTAACTTGTCTGTGTCTGTGAGAAGCGATCCTAAAGTAATCTAGATTTACATTAAGGTGCAGTGCAGGTAATTTTCTCATTATAAAAACGTTGTACAGACGCAGCAATATCTGCTAAAAAACTATATTATTTATGCAGTGTAGTTTCCCTCTTTATGAATATTTACTAAACTTCACACACATCATGAAAATTTCACTGCTCATTTGGTCATTAAATAATTTTTAATAATTCAAAATGAGTCATTTGAAATGGAAAACTGTGTAATTAAAGCTGAATGAAGGCTGTGAAAGTTTTTCATTGCTGCTTTGATTCCAAAGCCCTCGCTCCCTAAGAGAAAGGACGACCTGCATGCCTGCCAACTATGTGTTAACAACATCACTGGCCTTACTTTGGTTCTCTGTATTCCTGTACCAGGGTGTCTTATCCCAGGAATGCATAAAGACCTTAAAAATGAGCAGGATTAGAAATGATATAATAAGCTTTTGTCTTTCATCATGTGATGCTAAAACATGCTTTAAGGTACAAAAGATTTGATGTGCTTATCTTTCAACAATGGACTTTTACAACTATGAAGTAAATGGCAAACTGTGTGTGAATATGCACGTGTTGTCTGTATTTGCTCAGCACTGTGATTATTAGAAACACATGCACATGCCCATGTGTAGCTGAATAAGAGTCATTCACGCTGTCTTATGGATTTAGTGTTTAAGTGTTTTAGGACATTTGTAAGATGGATCAAAACTGTCATCATTCAGGAAACCAGTTGCTGAAGTTTTTTTAAGAAAGACATTTAAGAAACCATCCACATAACATAATTATTTAAGTATTCACATTATAATAATAGATATTAGTGTTTTAAAGGATCCCAGAAATTAAAACTTCTTACCTTTAGTCACAGCAGTAGCAAAACTACTTGTGAATAAATTAAATGAAAATAAATAATACGAATAAATTGTAGGGGTATAACAAAATCTAGCTATTGCATTCTGCTTTTGAACAGTGCTTCTAATTTGTTTACCCAGACAATGAGTGCCCCCTGTGGGTATCACTGCAGGCAGTTCTTGCATCACTGGTAACCATCATTTACAACCCTAGGCAGTGCCATCAAGTTCAGCACACCAGAAATCAGTGGAGAAATCATTTCATGCAGTTGTTTGTCTGCCCACAAACAACTTTGTTTGTGAGCAGACAAGAAGGTTGTTGTAACACAGCCCTTGCTGCTTGGTGGGGAAGGTCTGAGGGTAAGTGGTAGCTAGAGGATAAGCACAGAATCTTAAGAAAACAGTAGAAAATAAGAGAAACTGAATGGGAGCAAACGAGTGAGAAGCAGTTGCTGATTGCTGATGTGTGAAGACTAACTCTATGGGAAATGTGCCTGTGAGATATTTAACTGAGCTATTTGATTAGAGAAAATGAACCCACTTACTGTAATTGGATGCGGTGAGCTCCCTTTTTTCCCCACCCTGTTTCTTCTCCCATTTCCCCTGCATCTGTTTGTGTCTCACTTCTCATTCTTGCCTTGTGCACTGAGCAAATTGCTGCTTATAATGAACCGAAAAGAGAAACAACTACAAAGCATTGTACAAAATGATTGGCATACTTGATATATACAACAAAATAGTGGCGGTTCTAGTTGTGACACAATAATAGCGGCTGTCAAAAATTGAAATGAAATGCTCTTTTCAGCAGGAGTTTGACAGGAAAGATTTTTTAGTCTTTGCAAAAGAGGGATGATCCTAATTACACATAAAAACACAAGCCATTCAATCATGGTTCATGCAGCTGAATATATCTGTTTTTCTTTTGTCTCACTTCGGTGAGTGAGTTGGTTAGATGAGCAGCTTCTGTGAGTGTGACTGCAGTGGCTTTTCAAGTCCACTTGGGGACACTGTGCATCCTTAAGATTATACAACGTGGGTGTGCTTTAAAGCGTTTCTGGTTTGTGTGTCTTTTTTCTATGTTGATTTGTGGCTGCCTGTATTCATAAACCTCAGTGCAAAATCAAAGAGTGGGCCACCTGAGCTTATAATGACATTCCTGTGATTTACCATGCTGATGAGCACAAAACCAGCTTTATAAAACTGGCGCTGAAATTGTGGGCTGCAACTCACTGAATGTTTTTTTTAGAGCCTGAGCTCGATGTCGAGCAACAACAACAGACCTGGATCCATTCTATGCTCAAACTTTTGAAATGTTTTTGTTTTGATGAAATAACTTATTTAACTTTTTCTAGCACCCATAAAAAGTCTTGATTGTGTAGGTGGAGGACGCATGCTGTGAGATGGTTTCCACTGTCGACTCTTGTTCTGGTAGCAACCTCAAAGAAAAGTAATAACATTTTTGTTTCAACACAGCCAGGCAGGAGGTAGTCACTGTTTAATACAATAAAGCATATAATATGTTGTCAGTTTAGCTGATTTTTAGCCCATTTTACCCCACCCACACATAAAGTCACCAAATCCCTGTTAAAAACCACCTTAGATACATTGAGCATTTCTAATACTTCATTCCTTTTCATCTCTTAAACGGCCACAGGGTAGAATCAATCTATAACTTTCAATATTGCACAACATTGTGGGCAACATGATGGTTGGGCGGTTAGTGGCATCGCCTCACAGCTAGATGATCCTCCTAACCCTAACCCTTTCTGTGTGGAGTGTGCATCTCTGTTCTCTCTTGGTATTCCACCTTCCTTCCACTATCCAAAAACATGCATGTTAGGTTAACTGGACATTCTGATGGGAGTGAATGTGAGTCTGTGTGGTTGTTTGTCTCTGTGTCGCCCTTCAATGGACTGGTGACCTGCAGGGTGTGCCCCGCTTCTTGACCAATGTCAGCTGGGATAGGATCCAGGCACTTTGCGACCCTGTTAAGGGTAAGGTTGGATAATGGAAGGATGGAATAATTGGCAATGTCATTTTCTATTAAACAAAAGAAGAAGAACACGTCTCTGAATTTGTTGAGATTCTGACTCTTCCACAAATGAGTTTTTTGTGCTTTTAATGTAGATGAGGTCTTTTATTTGAAATGGTGTTTTCTGAATAGAACCTTTTCAGCAGAATGAGAAAAACTAGTTTAAAACAAATCACCTTTGTGGATTAATCGTGCAGATCTTCTAATTTCATTAACCATGCATAGCTTTACCTTGGAAATTCTCCCCCATGAGTCTTAATATTTTTAAACTGCCTTTGATCGAATCTGGTTAAAAACCTCAGATGGAACGAATGATTGCGTGTAGCTGTCTAGCTTTCCTTCTAATTGTATGGTTTTTGTGTTACCAAGTTGAAAATGTTTAAATTGATAAGCTGCTGATGGCATTTTGCTGCTGATCGCTCGGACATTTATGGAGCATGCTGTCAGTGCTTGAGCTGAGCTTTTACAGGAATGAGGCTTAAAGTCAACCTGCTTTTGTCTGCCACGTCAAAGAAAAGCCCTCCTGTGATGTTATTCAAAGTGGCCCCTCACGAGTCCAAACTTGGTAGAATAAATGTAATGAAAGCAGCCGATTGGTCAGACAAATCCAGAATGGCTTTCACAGGCAAAATTGCATAAAACTAAATAAATTAAATAAAGTGACTGTATAGCCTATACATTTTTCCTGGCATTGCTTTGATTTGCTGTCTACACGGTGCATCTATAAAGATTTAGCAGAATATTAGCTCAGGGCCTGTTTATGCTGACAGCAAATATGCAATAAGAACAGTGGAATTTGATTAATATTCTCAAACTAGAATCTTGATTTAGACTGGGTTTCTCTTTAAGTACTTTTTAGGTGGTAGCTGTTTGGCCATAAGCTTTACCATTAGAACCACTATCAGCTCAGCTTATTCGCAGAGATCATTGGGACTTAGTGCATTTTTGTTTTTGATGTAATACTATTTGAAGGCAAATAATTTCAGTGTAACTGAGTCATTTATATAAGGCGGAGAGTTTGAGTTTTCACACATTTTGTTGAAGCTTGACCTACAGTATCATATATGTGAAAAAGAACAGTACATAGTATTACATTATATTAGCATAAAAAACACAATTCCAATATCAGTTTGCGAATTATGTGGTGTACACAATGCAGTAATGTATGACTTAGGATATTTTTAAAAATTGTTGATCATAAGTGCAAATACTCTCCTATGTGTATACTGTTTTTTATCTTAAAGTTAGTTTATTTATGACTAAGAGTGCATCTCTCATGTCAGTAGATACGTATTTTACAGTTAAGCACAGTATATTCAAGGTGGTACAGAGAGTACATTGTTGTTCTGTCGACAATGTATACATCTTTTGCGTCAAACTAAATGATGAAAAAGAAAAATCTTGGGTAAGCATACTGCTGATTCAAGGGTTTTCTAACTCTATTTTGCTCTCTTCTACAGCTGTCATCACTCATTTAACACTCCGCTAGCATGGCGCCCCTGTCCTGCCCGTGTCTGTCCCTGATTGCTTGCCTGTGCAAGACAATGTAACGGAAACAAAACATGGAGATAAAAAAAATACTGTTTTTATCTGTGTTCCTGTGGCATATGCAATTTATTCAGATGAGAAATATCTCACCTCTAAACCCTTAATCCTCTATCCCAGTGGGTTTTTTTCCCAAACAATTGTTCATCCATTTCATACGAAACCCGACCTGTGTGTTGTTGGGTAACTGAAAAAGCTCAGTGCACAAGCTGAAGTTGTGTTGTGTTTATGAACTGGTGGAATATCTCTTGTTTACTTTTGTATTTGCTGAAATTACACCGAATAATTATTAATATTTTTGTTGCAAAGCTATATTTATTCATTCTACTGTCAAAAGGCCCTTTTCATGATATTTGACATGTGTCAGTAGCCATGTTAGACATCCATCCATTATCGTTACCGCTTATTCCCTAATGGGGTCGCGGGGAGAACTTGAGCCTATCCTAGTGGTCAGTGGGGTACTCTTTAGTGGGTCCATCCTATACACAGTACACCCAGTCTGCTAGTCTGCAGAAACAAACCTGGTCCAACTGTCCAACAAAACAGTCTTTAAAGGAAGTCTGTGTCAATACGGTATTTTCAACTTCCATGGCTAAGGGTGGGTGCCACTTAGCCACTTAGCAGCTGTCAATTCAAATGCTCAAGGTGTGTACATAGGCATGGGAGTAAATTCTTCTACATTCATTCGTGAAAGATAAAAAATTCTTTATTTTGTACATGCTGCATCTGAAAAACTATTTGTTGGCATTTTCAGTCAATTCAACCTAAAAGAGAAAATACGACTACTCTTAACTGAAATTTCACATAGTTCTTTGTTTATCCGCTGTATGATTTGCTATGACATTGAGAATTAGATCTTGAGGATTCGCTAAAGTTATTTAGTTGCTGTGTCCTAAATTTCCAACTGCTCATTATATGGTGACCTTCACAAGGAAGCTTTCTATTTACCAGTGCTGTCAGTATGTATAGTGAGATTGTATATACTGAAATGTTACCACAACACATCATGAAAAGCGACGCATCACTAACTCAGCAAATCCAGACTAATATGAACCGTGACAAAGAAAGATGGCTGGCAATCAAACAGACCCGTAGCATACCATATCATATCAGTGTAAGTCACTTTTAGTTTTTTCTATGAATTACAAAATACCTTTGTACCTATTATAAAGACACGGGGCTTCTGCATTAAAGTGATTTATGCGTTCTTCTTTTTTCCTTTCAACTGTTGGACTGATTTTGTGTGAAAACAACGTGTTGAATGCATTATTTATGTGACCACAACCTTGGTCATATAATACTATTTATTTATTCAACTGGGGAAATAACACAAAAAATACATACATGTATTGACCAGGTGCATTAAATTGTGTGGCAGACACATCATTCACCTTGTAGAGAATATGTAGAGTAGTGTCCAAGTGTCAATGAAAAATCTTAAATTGGATGTTTGGGCTGCATAATGAGAATTGTTTTTATACAATCAAAGTATGCAGATGTATAAAAATACATACAAATGTTCATATTAATTTTAATTGTAATAGAAAACCCTGATCCTTGAGTCTTCATGGTTTGTTTAAGAGTTAAAAAAACAGAGACAAACTTAAATTCTAGTTGGTGTCAATTCAAATGATTGTCCAACTGCATAAATCACCTTTAACAACTTTAGCCATGAAACTAATGGTAAAAAAGTAAGAAAAACAAGAAATAGCTTGTGTTTTTAAAAGATGGATATCCTCCCCATTAATAATCGTATAATAACAAAAGCTTTATGTGTACCCAGGTCCTGAATGACAAAAGGCTTAACAGCTGACAATATTTTTCTATCAAGTATTGTGCAGAACACAATAAATCTATATGCTCACTATCATATAGGCATTTAAATTAAATTGTTCATCTTTGTGCATACCTTTCATCTTTCAGCTTCTTTTATGTATATGGAGATGAGAAATGTACTCTTTCAGCTGAAGGGTTTTGTTCTTTAAAGTAAAATGTCAGTGAACAAGAGTCTAGGTATCTTGCTCCTTGGATCGATGCATCTGAGTTATGTATTCCATTATCAATTCTGATGCTTAAAAAAAAGTAGCAAATTTAGGTAGATGTTTTCTGAAAGGAAAAATCTTCCTTGGGTTATAAGAAATTCTAATTTTAAGTCAAATTTATGAAGGATTAGAGTGAGGTTAAAGTGCGAGGAAAAAGGGCTCCAAGTTGAGGTGAAGGGTGAGGATGACCAGTGGAAATAAATAGATGAAACAGATTGATTTCTTCACAGACTCTACAAAAAAAGTAAACATTCCACATAGTTCTTTGCAGGCAGAATTTGAAAGACTGCAGAAGTATTTCTATTTCCCTCATTATGCTTTTGTCATTAAGTCTGAAACTCGGACGAACCAGTCAGTTATTGTGCGACACAAAAGCTATTCAATAATAAGTCATTTTACACTTGTGTCTTCTTGACAAAGCCAATTAAGTTTAGTAAGGCGCAAAAAATGCCATGAAAAATAAGCTTTGAACTGTCGATTCTTCTCTTTGCTTCTGGGTGTGCTTTGAAACATTTGGTAGACAGCAGCAAAACAGTCAGACTAGCTTCAAATTCTGAGGCTGTTGTTAGAAGTGTCTTTGTTGTGTTTTTAGAGTGTTATTGGTTGATAATTGGTCGATATCTTTCTGAAAGTCAGTTCTGATTGTGCATCTATATGTACGGAATAATAATCTATTATGCTTTTGAAAGGGGGTAGGCCATATTAAAGCTGTATCACAGAGGAAATTAATTAATATGCCTGTTAAAAATGAGCAGAACAGTCAGGAAATAGAAAGAAATGTGGATGAAATAATTGGAAGTTGTGTATTTAGGGTAAACCTAGTCATTAGTACTAGAAAACGGTTAAATTGTGGGGAGTTTCAAATTGATGAGCAAATCAAAACTGAGCTTTTATAATTCTATTAATTGCTGTCAATAATGCATCTCTGTACTTCTGAGAGTCATTTATTGTTTTTATTTAGCTATTGTAGTAATAAAATGTTAAATGCAGTATGTTTTCTTTTGCTATACTGTATACTGAAATCTGTTTCACACACAATATTGTTGGTCCCTCAGGATATTCTAAACAACCTGGACCCACCTGGAACTGGGGATTTAGAAGACGATGACCTCATGTTGGACGTTGATCTCCCAGAGGATGGCTTACATGGTCAGGGCGCACACACTCGTACTCAGTTCTCCGTGCACTTACAGCAACATATAGGTTTAAATTAAAGAGGTCCTTCAAATACTTTAGTGTCATGGGCTTGAGGATGCCCATTATTTTTGCATAAGTGGCTACCTATAGCAAAAGTGTTGTAAATTAATGCATTCTCAAGGTCTAAACTTTTCACTTCCAGTGAACTCCTTGTATGGGATAAAATGACTTGAATAAATTTAATTCTGTTTTGCCTTGGGTGAAGATTCCCTCAGCAAACATCCATTAAATTTCTATAATGGATACCTTGTTGTGTTATCTTGTGCTGTCTATATTTTAATGTTTAGCAGCTGAAGAATTATTCAATTACAACTCCAGAATTCAAATGGATGCTATAAAAACTTCCAATGGTTCTCAGCCAGCTGGTTGCCTTTGTGTGTATGTGCAGATTGCTGCAAAGGTGTAACGTACAGATCCGGACTTGATGGGGACAGCATATACGTAATTAGATTGCTCTCGACAAATGTAGCATTATGTTTCAAGTGATTTCTGTTGTAGTTATTGATTTAGATATTACATTATCATCTTCTGATTAGTTCTTATATATATCAGTCTTGTCTGAAGGGTGAGCTTTGTCACCCATTTAAACTTGTATTGAAGTGCCAGTGCTATCAAAATTTTGTAAAATAGCTTTGTTGTAGGTGGTAATAGTAATTAGGTAACATCATTAGCATGCAATAATAGCGCTGACATCCTTATGGCTTCCTCAGATTATTTGATATTGTGTTGTGTGGGAGAGGGAAAAAAGGGTAGAGGACTGACCTCTCCTGTCATGAAATATAATGAATTCTTGGGAGTAGATTTTTGCTTGTCAGCCTTGAAGCCGATCCTCACATAGTACCATTTATTGCTAATGGGTTTAATGCACTAGTTTATTGCAAATGTCTGTGACTGGCTTTGAATACACAAACAAGCCTCCCTTCAGCACACAAAAATTCTGTGAAGTGAGTATGCAAATTTGCTGTCAAGAAGAAGCCTAAAATTGACCACCACAGCCCCCCTGCTACATATATGTGGTACACACAACTGCCACTTCATCAGATACACTTTGCTGAGACTAACTCGGTCTACTGTGACACCTTAATGCATATTGTATCTTTATCAAGTTAATGATGATCAGCTTTTTAACAGGTCAGGTTTCATATCACAGGTATGAAATAAAATCATCATGAAAAATCATGAAAAATATTTACCTGTTGTCCTCACTATATCTCGCTGGATTAATTTTAAAGGTTTGCAACTGATCCTGTTATAGGAGAAGTAGGAGCAGAGGCATGACAAATCTATGTTTGATGTACAATTTTTGTTCATATCATGTTTAAATGCCCTCATCACTGGATAAAATAATTTAGGTGTAAAGATACCCATAAATGTGATGGTATGGTCTATCCATGATGATTAAAGTAACTGTCTAACAATTCGTGGGATATATGGGTCAAGTTGGAGACAACAGCCATCCCAAAGCCCATAAAAGATTTGTAAATGAGCAGACTAAAGACCTGTCATGGAGAGAATACACAAATTTGGCATCAGTTAGAAGACCTAAGTGTCTCATTTATGATTATCTGGAATAAAACTTGTCTATTGCTGTTGCAAATTCTGAATTATTTTTAAACCCACTAAAAGTGTTCTTTTTCAATGCGTCTTTATGCTTGTAATCTGTCCCATGTAGGCGGCCAGCCTGCACAAATAAGCTCATGAAAACAAAACATTTTTTCACCAAACAGTTATATTTTACCATAAATATGTATTATTTTACACGCTGTAGCTTTCAACTGATGCTTTAGATATTATTAAAAACTTGGAATTATCTTATTGAATGCCCTTAACAGAAACTTTGGCGTAGCTTAGCTTATTGTAATCAAGAAACGCTCAAATGAGTAAATGGTGTCTGTAAACTGTGCTGTCCTTGTTGATGAGAAAGGGAGACGAAGAGAGGGAGAGGAATGTTCCCTCCAGAGGAATGTGAGCTAGACCGTCATCCGTGCCTACTCCTTTTCGGGTAGCAGCCTTATTTATAGCTTTCTGTCATGGGTAGAGTTAATGTCACAAGAAGCGAAAGAGTGAAAGCAAGACACAGTGAAGGGTCCACATAGACCCAGCCCACAGGGCAGTCCCTGAGATGTGGCAGCAGGAAGGGTGTTTCTCCTGACGACACTCTGACTGCCACAAAATGGGAAGAAAGAAAAGGGGAGAAGAGAAAAGAGGGGGGACCCATGTTGTCTTTTCATGCAGCTGTCAGGTCCCATGACAAGAGAGGGGGCACAGATTCCCTCTCTCAGCTGGTGACTTCCTAGCTTGGACACAAACCAGTCACCTCAGTTGCTCTCTCCCCAGCTCCAGTTCCTAGGGAGTTCCCAGAAAAACAAGGCTGTCAACAAAGACAGGGCCGGGCTGGCTGAAAGCCGGGCCGACTTTATCTTTGGCCATTTAACAGCTCTCCAGCTGACCAGACAAGGAGTCATTCCTCTGTACCGACTGTCTGAGTTTCTCTACATTTATGGACCTTTTGCAATTGGAACTTCTATTATTTGTTTAACTTCTGTGGACTTTTTCTGAGCTGGAAAAAAATAAATGGGAGCCGCTAAGTTTCTTGGAATGTAACAGGTCTGTATGAAGCAGCCAGTCTGCTCCTCCGTTATTTGGTGACTCTTAGGTTAAAGCAGCTTAACCACAACTGTTGAATCCAATACATTAATTCTCTACCTACTTTGTCCCTTTAGTATTTGAGTATCTTTCATGTAGAAAGTCAAAGATCTTTTCAATTTCCCGACGATCACACTGTTAGGTGCCAATTTTCTTGCAGTCATGGTTCATTCCACAGTGAAATGCTACTGAGTGTGTCCAAGTACTGTTTCCATTTACAATACTTCCTTGAAAATTAATTTGCATGTCACTGTATTTTCTTTGAAGATCAAGTTTTTCCTATGTAATCAGGATTTCTTGAAAATATTGCTTCGAGGTTAAGTGTGAGTGTGTTTGTGCTGTCTGTAAATAGAGAGAATCAAAGAAAGACCTTAAGTTTGACTTTTTTCTTGTCTTTTCTCTTTCAATTACATTATTATTGCAGTTGTAAAAATTCTTTCCAAATATATCTGTTGACACTTTTAAGTTTAATTTGACTTTTCTTTTCTTTTTTCTCTCAGTTGCTGTCTGTTTCTAACACATATTTAAGTGTCTTTTCAATGTTTCACTCTTACTCCAATTCATGAAAAAAAAAATGTTACAGGCTTTTACAGAATGTCCCATAATGAGCGTATGGAACGGGCCAGCCGACAGGGGCAGCGGCGTAAACAGCACCGCTGGAGTGGACCGGACCACTTGCACAATGATAACAGGTTGGTCAGGCTTCAGGCTGCCTAAAAAGTTAACATTAGTATGAAAAAAAATCGAAGAACAAAGGAAAAGTCAACATAGCAAATATCATTCTAATTATATGTCTGACTAATGTTTTTTGAATGGTCTTTTTTAGTCGGGCCCACGTTTTCCAAAATTACAATGGTCTGAAAGCTTCAAGGACCTCTTCACAGCCTGTCCAGTCTGAAGGCAGGCAGCACGGGTTCAGACCAACGCTGGATGAACTTACCCTCGAGCACATGACTCAGGATTGCAGTTTACTCAAAAATCAGCTGCTCAGACTTAAGACATTATTACAGGTTTGAGCCACAACTTCAGATCTATGTCAATGTTGAAAAACTTTATATTGTTTCAGGCACCACTGTTGAGAGAACTCAGTGTCTCTTGTTATTTTTTGTAATACGGTTGCATTCCTACAAGGGAACCGGCCGATCTTTTTTACGTGCTGTTTACTGTTAACTGTCTATTACAAACAACTTAGTGCTCCAGAGTACTATTGAATACTTACATTTTTTGGAAGTGGTGTCTGTGTTCATTGTTCCCAATATAAGTAACAGGAAAAGTGTGCGATATTTGACCGTGCATCTGTTTACTTGTATCATGTAGACATATGTACATACATATGTGTTTGTGAGGCAGATCATTTAACAAACTCTGCAAGAGAGAAAAAAGTTAAGAATAAAGAGAAAGAAAATGTTACAATTTGTGAAACTTTTCTCTCACATGTGAGATGAACACATAGAGCTTTGTCTATTCTAAACAGTTGTAGAACTGTATAGATAAAATCCTTCTCACTGCACAGATCAAAATGATCTTTAATGTGTTGACATGCTTTAGGCACTATAACAGACACAGGATTGATACTTGCATTTAAAACAAATCTCTCCTGAAGATGAGTTCAGTATGTTTTCATCGATTGACTAAGTAAACACTGGAGGCCTCGTGAGCAAAAATCTTTATTTCAGCGTAAAATTACCTTCTTTTCTAGCTTCTAATAACTGTGTTTTCTTTTCATATCATACTGAACTCAGATAATTAACTTTAAAATGGGTCTCATCTTCATTAATCATAATTTGTCTTTGATTCATTGTTCTTAAAGTCAGACATCTAGCAGACCCCTTCAGCACCTCTAATTGGTTAATTCTATGCAATTTTAATGAACATTGGGTAGAAATTAAATTTCTATTCTAGGCAGCTGAGCAACAGTAGGATGACTACTTGATAAACCTTTGTGACTCTTGGTAACAAAAATACACTGTTTCAAATCATGACCTGGCATTGGTGTTGTTTTTAAAAGGTAACTTTAAAAGTTTGTTCTCTAAATGTGATAACTAGCCTTTAAAGCAAACAAAGAAACATTTCCTTGTTGTCAGAAAAATATACCCAAATTTGTTATTTTACACAGTGTGGGGCCAATTTTTGTGAGTGCAATGAAGTAAATGTATTGAATGCCCAATGGCATACTGTGCCTCTGGGATAAAACACTGGCTGCTGACAGTTCAGGGTCAGTGGAGTGTTAGTGCAAAATAGTAAAATTCTTTCACTGTAGTGAGATATTACTCTTGAGGCATGCCTAAGGCAATTGATACAGCTCACAGTGTATTCTGCATCTGTGTGTGACTCCTCCTGTGTGTATTTTTTTTCCAGCTTGAGGAAAAAGATTTTCCAGCAGATGTTTCTGAGACATCTGAAGAAAACACCAATGCATCACAGGTAGGAAACTTTACTTTAGGTTGATAGTTATGCTTACTGGAGATGCTGAATGCATCACAGCTATGCTATCAGAGAAATATATTTAAAATTTTCACTCAGTTCAGGTCGTCTCATATTCCTACTGCTCAATGTGTGTGTTGTTTTCAGTTGGAAGCATTGATTAAGGAAGTACAAGTACTGCGAGAGGAGCTCAGGATTCGGGACAAGACAATTGCACACCTCACTTTGCAGTGTCAACAGCTACAACAGCAAAATCAGCAGGAACAAATGGTAAATTTGTTCAGTGGGGACTGATAGAAGCAACATGTCTGTAAAGGGACTGCGCAGAATATTTCATGTTGACTATGCTTACAATGCAACTATTAGACTTAAGAGCAGCTCTGCCACCATACTTGTATTTGGGACAGAGATTACATGAAAAAATAAATAAAGCTGTGATTATCTGTTAAATATTGATGATGGAATGTCTAAAAATTATATAAGTGCAGTTTTTATTTAGAGTTGTATGAACATTCAATATTTAAAACAATGTAGTTGGCTGAAAACATAGAACTGCCAATGATTTTGGAATATATTTACTTATAGCATTATAACATTAAAAGGTTTTGAGAATCCAGGAAAAAACAACATAAGGAACTTATCTTTATATCCCTGAGAGTAAGTTAAGACATACCATGATATTTTTCAGTATGGGTGAGAAAACAGTTTCTGATGGGTATTTCTTTTTATTCCTACAAGGTGTTATTTGTGCCAACTACATCCTTGCTGTTACATTTTGACTCGCTCCGCCTCCACTTTTCCCTTGTTAGCCAGAAATTCTGTGCCTGGATAACACTATACAAATCCCTGCCATATTGAGAAATGCCAAAATGTCAAAGAAAGGCCTGTCCACCAGCTTAGTTGCCGCCTACTATCTGTCCAATTAGAATTAACATCCACCCACAATGCATTCTTCATTGCTGTGCCTTTACACCCTGCGAGCAAAAGGAGTAAGACATGTCTTCATATCTGTTGCTAACTTTAATGAGTGTAGAGACTCTAAGAAGTGAAGGCGTTGAAAGAAAAATAAGATTACAAATCAATAATAATGATTTAACTGTAATGGGGACAACCAAGACTTTACTAAACTTGACTAACATTAATTCAGATTTAGAAAACCTACGTGCTGCTTAAAACTGTTTCTTATATTTATCATGAGGAGTTTTGTCCCTGTTGGAACCCATTAGAGTTGTCACCATGAGAGAGGGAGGGTATACCCGGGACCGTTGGTCACCGTTGGTTGTTTTTTTGCATGGTTTTGTACAGTAGAGGAAACTGGAAGAATACCCACATATAAACATCACATCCTCTATGGAGAGGATTCACTCTCTACACAAAAAAGCCCCATGTGAAACTTAAGCTAAACCTTGTTGTGGGGAAACACCAAGTATTTAGTCTTAAAATGTGGTATTTCATTATGAACAATACAGTTTTTTGTTAAAAAAAAATAAATAAAAATAAATGTATAGCCTGAATGCCATCTTCAATCTTCCATTCCTGACTTACTTTCTTTTTTTAAAACATGCCTTCCTTTGAAACCTTTCCATGGACAACAGGTCAGATGCCAGTGCCACCACCAGAGGGCTCCCTCTTCACGAAGACAGAATGACAGACAGATGGACAAACGGATACTGCACCACTATGACAAAGCTACCCAAACATACTGGAGACCACCAAACCAAGTTGTGAGTCCAGATGTTACACGTTTTCTTTCAGTAATATTTATGTAGTTCTATAAAAATATATCCCCAACAATTTCCTTTGTGTGATTGGTTGGTTGCAGATTTTTTTAGAGATTAAATAAAACGATTACCTTTTATAAATATAATTGAGTTTAGTAAACATTTGCAAGGGACCTTACTAGTGACTGTCTGGAAGTATACAATGTGTCGATCTGTTGAGCACTTTTCCTGCTGTGCACAACTGGAAAGAGCGTTAAATCGCTGTACCGTGTCCTCTCCATGAAACACAGTTTATCAGACTGCCAGTGTGCTTGTCACGCTTTCTTCCTCTCAGATATCGCAGAGCACGCAGGCCAGTGTTAACGCTGGAATGATGTAGGAAGACAGAGAGAGATTTAAGGGAGTAATGAAGAAGACAGAGAGGCAGTAAGATGGAAAATTGATAGATACATGTTCCGCGTTTGAAGTATCATGCCACAATAGCATGCTGGGTGGCAGCCAGTTATTGATTTCATAGTGGGAGTGCCACAGGCAGCGTGCCTAGTAAACACTCTCCTAATTGACCTGCTCTCAGCTAAAAGGGCAACACAGACACATACAGAGCGGGAAGACAGAAGAACTGTAACATGATTCCACAGAGAAAGTGAACTAATAATAAATAAAAGAGAAACCTCCTATAGGATATATCTCTGCTATTTTCTTAATTCGAATAGAATTAGAATAGAAAAAAGGAATTTGGTACACGTATCCTCGGCTGTAACACATAGGCAGAAGGCTAAAAATAAAGAACAAAACAAACAAGCTTGCTAACTACATCAGGCTCCTTTTTTGCCATAAGAACATATGGTTTAGCAGTTGCTATGGCAACCATCAAAGCAGCGCTTCACTTGATGGAAACGTCTCTATAGTGGGAGCATCTTTGACCTGTAGTGCCTGGTGTACCGTACCACACTATAACACAATACATTCAGATTGCTTCTCTGCTTTTGCCGCTACTCTTTATGTTGCTGTTTTTAGACACCACTTCATCTCCATCATCTATTTTCCCCTCCTTTATTCAACATAACTGTGTCATCACCAGTGTGCAGACCATTTCCTGGACTCTGTTTTCCTGCACTGGGGGGATAAATGCATTATATTAATGATTTTTTTATATTTCCAAGCAGGCTGTTGTTCTAAAACGCTAGCTGGGAACTTTTGATGCATTATTGGATCAGTAAAAAAGAAGATACGGTGATATTGACTTAAAAAAAACAGACAGAAAGAGAGTTTTCTCCTGCAGCCTTTTTCTTTTTAAGTTTGTGGTTTACTGTTTCACATCTTGGTATTGTAAAAGAACTTTCACCAAACGTAGCTCCTGCATCTAATCTCCTTTTTCTCCATTGTTTTAATTTCTTTTTAAGCTTAGCTGATTCCTTCCTTACCCCACTCATTTCATATAAACAACATTTTTTTGACTCATGCGTTAATGGAGTTTGGTTTTCTTTATTTCACTGTTCAGTGCTTTTCCTTTAACAACTGCATCTATGAACAAATTTCTTTCTATCTTGTGTAATTTTATGTATTTTCCTCTCTTGCTCTGAAATGCACTTTGCTGTTGATTTCCCCCTCCTCTGACATTTACAGTAAAGCACTACAGAAGCTATTACCCTCTGACAGTAATTTTTTAATGCTATCCTGAAAGGATAAACCCAGATTAACGTGGCTGTCACAAGCCAATCGCTTAAATCTTTATAGCCCAACCATCGATATGTGATGTTGTTGCTGTATCAGTAGATATTCTGTTTAAAAATGCACATTGGGAGGTCTGTGGTCCCTTCTGTGGATTCTTAGACTTCTGACTGTGCACTGCAGTCACATTAACAGTAAAACGAAAAAAATAAACCTAGAACTTTGGGACATGGCTCATTAAGGGTATTGCCTTTTTGGTATAAAGTTTTTTGTTCAAGACAAAGAAAGGACTCTAACAGTTGTCGACTGTTTCCTTGGGGGCTGCTGTAACCCATCTCCTTACTTTTTTCTATATCGGCTAAATGTCCTAACCAACTGCATTAGGCACCAGCTTCTCATATTCATATGCTGGTGATCCACTCAGTCCAGCCACATACTCAGAAAAATCTCACCAATAAGGAATGAATATGTCTATCAATGTTGAAAATACACAAAATGTTGGTCACGCTTGTCACAGATGGTCACATGACAAGTGTCACAGTAGAACCTACTTAGGCGTCGCCAGTAGAAAATTAATCTTGTGAACAGCTCCCTGGAGCAACAGAGGTTTTTTTCTGTGCTTATAAGTTAGCAGAAAAATTTAATCTGGGGTCTATTTCTTCCACTTTTTTCCAGATTTAGGACAAAATGAAACTATTTTTTTTTTTTGGTTTGACTGCTTGTGATTTTGTTCTGTGTGCGCTTGTAAGAGCGTGATGCACCACACCACACCTCTTGTGCTCCTGTGTGGAGCACACAGAGTTGGTGTGAGTGAACAGTGAATTCGTCTGACTGAGGACTGTGAAGTCGACCCCTCTAATAACCCACATAAACAAACATGCAGATGAGCAGCCGCAGTGAAACAATGGGAACACAATAAGCTGCGTTACATCAGTTGCAGACAGAGAGGATAATTACAGCTTACCTCCTACTCTCTCTCTGCTTCTTTAACAGCCTCTGCTTCATCTCTTCTTCTCCTCTCAGAGTTCCCTTCATGTTTTTGTTTGTTTTGTTTTTTTTGCTCCAGCTCTCTGTTTTTTCTCTTGCTTATTTGCTTCAGAGATTTTTCTCTTTATTTGTGCTTATGTCCCTGTCAGTCAGTCTGAGATTTCTACTCTTCCTGACTCTTTTACCTCTTTTGTAATTGGATCAATTTGCTGTCACTGGGAGTGAAAGGACAAGGCAGAGTGATCAGTATTAAGCTGCAGGTTGAAAGTCTTCCACTCCCAGATCTACCATTACCTCTACTCACTCATTCTCTCTGTCTGCTTCCTTTCATCACAGACAAGCCATCACAAAGGCACACTTATTTATACACATACTTCATTTGGACAGGTGAGGATTTAATTGCCAAAGTCAGTGAAGTGAGAAATGGTGGCCAGACCTGAGTTTTACCTGTAGCTTGCAACATAAAGCCCTGGGTTGTGGATTAGAGGATCTAAACAGGGAAAGGGGTGACAGGTCATGGGATTACTTATAATTATTCCTACTACAAATGTTGATTATTGTTATGCATTTATAAGTTTCACCTGAGGATTTAGAGAAGATTTAGATTAAAATTATGCCAGTAAGCATGAGAGAACACATTTAAAACCAGCCATGCCAGTATGGTTATTTCTGAGAAATGAGATTTCACACAAGCACTGTTTGTTTTCTTGAACACTGTTCTATCCTTTTCCTGATTGTCAGATAAATTGACATTTTAAATTGAAGGGTTTGTTTTTTTATTCACAATGACAAAAAAAAGGACACACTCGAAGATAAATGCTTCCTATTAAATCTGTCTAGATACCAGCACGGTGCAGGCGTCACTCAAAATAAGACAAAATTATGTTTACACAGAGTGACATGAGATTTTAAGAATATAATGGTCTACCCTAAAAATATGTGTTCAAATATTTAAAAATATTTAAAACAGCAAAACAGTCTTACTGAGAACATCTTTGGATTTTAATCTTAATTTTTGCATGTGCTCTTTTGAAAGTATAGGCTTAAAGGATTCTCAGCTACTAAGAAACATGTAATATCTTGTTTTCACAGGATTTTTTTCTTCCTGCTTTATTGTTCAACTTTATTCCACATCCACTGCTGTTGCTGTTATTGCCACCATACTGAGAGGGCTGGACACCTCTCTACTACATAAAAAGCTTGACAAGAGAGTCTATGGCAAAGTTTGTCAAAGCTTATCCCCCAAGGCTAGAGCAATAGTTTATCCCCTACTGCACAGGTCCAGTCATGAAAGCCGCAGTGAGGATAACGGCCCCATCTGGCTTTACTTGGGAAGAGTTATGTTTGTTGCACAGAACTGAGACACTAGTATTTCTTGCAGTTGTTGGATCCAGGATTCCTGTGTGCTGTTTGAGAAGTCAAATTATTTTTGAAGCAGTCAATAGACAGAATATATGAAAAATACATTTCTATCTGACTCTTTTTTTTATGTCCTGTCTATCCTTCATTTGAGTGATGACAATGACAGAAAAATGTAAAATATTAAAGATGTAAATCCCTGTATAGCTGAGGTACACAACACTTCTGTTCTGTTAGATTATGCCAGTATTCTTCACAAGCCCTCCAACCTACCCTTAAACCTGACTACTTTCCCATTCAGCAAACAAAGCCTCGGTGGGAGGCTTCTTCCAAGACTGCCTGCTGAAATAGTTGTTGGTTTACGAAGAGGGACATGGGCAAAAGTAGTTCAGGAAAACTCATTCCTCTTTCCTACAGCAGTCTCAAAGGGAGAGCTTTAAAATAGCTTTCGCTGTACCTGCTGGGAGGTGCAACCTTCCCCGTCTCGTCTTTTCTCTATTCCTGTGACTAACAGAATTTATTTCCCACTCTTTTAATTTTTTTTTTTACTAAAGTCCTATTTGAGAGTGGCCCTCTCTCCACCACAGAGTGAAATTGCATTGGCCACAGTTTTGATAATACAATAGACTAGTTGTATCTCCACATTGGCTTTAAAAGCTTTAGGACTTTATTGCTGTATCTAAAGATACAGTAAACAGCATGTAAGGGAAAGAGTTGAGTGTGCTTTCATGCTAGTGTGACAATGATTCAGCATCAAGCGATAGCCAAAATGATAGTGGAATGAACTATCCTGGGAAATATGTTTTATAACAATATAACTAACAACAGTGATTGATCCATTTCAGACTTTGGCTTTTATCAACGAATTACAAATCCCAAAAAATAGATATTTATCATAGATTTTGTTTTTTGAGCAAGCATACTGTCAAAAGGCCGCAATTAAAATGCACATCATGCAAATGAGTGAGCTCACAACAATAAAGGAT